GGAATGGGGAATGAGCGCTGAGGGGGACACATGAGGAAGTCCTGGAGGACTCCTGCACACACGACGGACACCCAGACAGCAGCCTACCTTCCCTAACTTGTGTGGAGACAGCGCTGCGTAAACAGGGCTACAGCCCACTCCGAACACAGAAGGCTCCTCATTCGGAGTCCTCCTGCCCCAGTTTTTGTACATGCTACCCACTGGTTAACAAACACTTTCTGAAATGTGCAGCAGACACAACAGAATATATCGATGCTACACTCTTCAAGGTTTAGGAAGATCATTTGAGAAGGACCCTTGGGTTGAACACAAGCAGATTACTTCAACAGATCCTTTTCTCAACCAACATCCCTTGAAAATGACTCGCAAATCAACACAAAGACTTAGCTACTATCCTGCATAAATACCCCGCTGCTGAACTCCAGGCTCAATAGCAACTCAATCAAAAGATTCAAGATTCCACTACATCAATTCCCACAAAACTTATTCCTTGGGACCATTTGCTCACTTCTGCCTTACATCCCTGTAAGACTCCAAACCAGGGGTTGGGCAAACTTCTTGCGCAAAGAGCCAGACGGTAAATATTTTTGGCTGTTGAGAGCCACGTAGCTATCACATGTTTTCCTTTGTGCTGTCTTGTTAAACAATCCTTTAAAAACGTAAACATCATCTTCCCTCCCGGACCACACATACACGCTGGATCAGTCAGCTAAGCCCCGGCAAACGAGAACGGGCAGGAGGCGGGCCACAGCGACCACAGCCCCGCAGCTGCCCGCACACCCGGGTTTCTGTGGGAACAGTCATCCTAGGTTACCTGCGTGCCGGATCAGGAACGAGAGGGAGGCAGACCGTCACAACTCTCTCCTTACCTAGGGACTGGAAGAAGACGGCGTAGCGGCACTCATAGAGGGAGAAGAGGTACTGGCGCACCGCCGGGAGCCGGTGCAGCACCTCCAGGATCTCGGCCCCTTTGATGACCTAGGAACGGACACGGACACGGACACACACACACGTTTGCCGTGAGGGCTCTTGCGTATTTAAGCCGCACAAGCACAGGGTCTTCTTCATTAAAGACGCAGGCATTACCTTCTCCCTGAGGTCCGGTCTTTCTAAGGCAATCATGCTGACGTACACAGTGTAGGTGACGAAGGTTTTGTAATCCATGAGCTCATACGACGTAAAGGTGGACACTGTGTCGAGGAAGAGTTCAGCTGCCTGTTTGAAGTCACGGATCGCCACACAGTAAAGCCCCTGATACACTTTGAGGCGGTTTCTCCTGTCCCAGTCTCCTCCTTCCTCGATTAAACTGCACAATAAAACACAGTAACGTCACACACAATGGAAAAAACCAGTGCCACTTTTTACAAGTTTTGGGTTACTTTGAAAGCGAAAACAACTTTTAGCACCTTAAAAAGAAGTATCTAAAGAAAATATTCTCCTAAATAAGCACACCAAGCATTTGACCAGATCACTACTTGGAAACAGAACAGAGTAGGCATGTTTCTCTCTCACATCCATCTCTCACTCAGAGCATCCTAATGTAAAGGGCACACCTCCCACTGCTAACAAGCACCTCTTGGCCTTTTCTGTGTTCCGCGTGATGAGGTCGTTATCCATGTAAAATAAGCCAATCCTGAGCAGGTAGAACACAATATCCAGGCGGTGACCCAGGGCCACAGTTTTGTCATAGGTCTTGCGAAAGGCTGTCAGAGCACCCTCCTGTCAAGAAAACCAAGGCGACGGGTGAGGAAGGGTGAAAAGCTTCAAAAGCTATCAGCTGTCTAGGATTCTCCTCACAAGCGGGGGCGGGGGGGGTAGTGGGGACAGAACACCACGGCCGGGGGCTGGTAACCGTTGAGGCTGGGTGGTAAGTGCGTGGGGGGGGGGTGTCCTACACTGCTGTAAGGCATGAAAAGTACAGCAAATACTTACATTCTAGGAAACAATATAAGAAACACATTCATAATTTATGCACAAGTATTCCAATGTTCTTCTCTGTTCTATACACTCAGTATTTTCCCCTTTAATAACTACACTACCACTTTAAACTTTTACTCCACTAAACTTTCAATCATCTCACTTAAAGGGTAGTAGAAATTTCATCTTAATCACTGAGTATTAGAACACACCTCAGTATCTGCACAAAGCATTATGGAATGCTTTTATTGCTTTAAAAACATGACCACGAATAAAGTTATTTCTTTATACTTGGTACTGTTTAATATGTGTCTGGCTCTGTGCCATGTAATTCTTAGGGATGCCTCATACATTGATAAAAGAGACTGCAAGACAGAAATGGGCAGGCCCAGCACTCAGATCTGCTTCTACATCCCACCCCCCAACAAAAGAACCCAGGGATCCCAGGAGAAATGGAGGATTCCAGGGTGGGGGAGTGAAAATAAAAGGTGGGCCTGTGACATCTCGTATGAGACATAAGGACGTCCAATGATGGCGTGTCAACACGACAGAGGAGCCGTCTTGAAGAAGCTTCCACAAACAAGTTTTTTACAAATTGAGCAATATAAAGAAAAATGACTATGATCAACATAATACAGTGAATAATAAAGACCCACTAAGGCCCTAAATAAAATATTAAAAACAAGATAGTCAACAGGAAGGGAAAAAACCTCTTTTTAGAAGAATGCTATTTAATAAACGTGGAATATAATTTTGGAACATCACCAACTTACAGCCCCCGACGCTGACTCACGCACATCCCTGCTGAAATTCCTCAAGGCCTGAACCAGAAGCTTTAAGGTGCTCAGCCACGTGTACTGATGTATCCTCTTCACAACCAAACCACACAAACTATTAGCGATTTTTAAACTGCATTTTCCAAATTTTTACAATGACCAAATCTTACATTTACAAGGAGAAGAAAAAAATTTGTTTCAAAGGTAAATTAAATAGTAGTAGCTCCTAGCATTTAACTTAATGTCAGCACCTGGTACCAGGTACCAGCCCAAGCTCTCTGCCCCTAGGAACCGTCACTAACCCTACTGTACACATAAGGAAACTCATACAGATGAGGAATTCATAATTACTGACACCAGAAATGGAACCCAAGCCATCTAAGAGCTTCCAGTGTTTTATTTTTTTAACACTGACACCCTCTCATCCATCATCTGAGCACCTCAAGCCAGGCGTGTGCTCCTGCCTGTCTCCCTCCACACCCTGGAGCCCGTGCGCAGGCGGGGATGCTCGGTGCGCCGCTTTGACAAAATTGGGATCGTTCTCAAGAGGTCACTTTTCTAACGCGTCTTGGTTGGGAAGCATTGGTTCTGGTGCACTTTACAAATGATTGTTCACACGAGTTACAGTCTCCTTGCAAGAAACTGAATGTTACAGTCAGTGCTATAAAGTTTTCCTTGAGCTGCATTCCCTACCTTCTCACAGACAGCCTTTTTAGTCCTCTTCCTGTATGCTGACCCTCATGTGTGTGCACCTGTACATGTGCCCTGCTTCAAACTAAGGGCGTTCAAAGCCCATCCTCTTACCCACTATTACACAACTGTTCAATGAAAAAACCTGAAATGACCCGATACTTGAGGGTAACCCTCTCGTGTGCTCACAGTGGAATATAAACTTGGCTGGCTGCTGTGTGGAGGAACTGGCCACACACACTAAGATAAAAACTGAGCTGAGAACACATACATCCAATCACTGAGAAGCTAAGTCAACTGAGGCCTAGATCTACAATGGATTATTAGCGAACAATTAACCAAAATGAGCAAAATTATTCACAGTAACACGGAACACCACTCAGCGTAAGGCTGAATGAAAAAGTAAAAAGGACAACGCGCGTACACTATGATCCTATTTACTTAAAACACATCTTTTTACACCAATACTACCTAATTTCTACAGATACACATACCTGCCTGTAAATATAAGTCTTAGAGAAAGTAGGGAAGTGAGGTCAAATAAAAACTTTAGCATCAACTGTAATATGCAAGTTTCTTGCAAGGAGACTACTGTGTGAACAGTAATTTTTACAACGCACCAGAACCAAAGCGTCCCAACCAAGACACGTTAAAAAAACGACCTTTTGAGAACGGTCCTCATTTTGTCAAAGCGGCACATCACTACGCATCCCCGCCTGTGCACTCTTTAACCACGGTCGCACGGATTCATCAGTTCAGGTAAGCACGTCACCTAGGTACTTTGTGAAAACCGAAGTGAACTAGGGGAGACCAACTCCCTCACCTTGTCGCCTATCCGGCAGAGGTACTCGGCCTTTGCCATCATGGCGTCTCGGATTTCGCTCTCTCCCAGATTCTTCTCTGCATCTTCCAGCTCCTCGTCCAAACGTTTCAGCTCGTCTTCGTTGGCCTTCTTCATTTTATTAAGCAAGTCCACGTCCATCTGCCAGTCAAGGGATTTGCACAAGGCCTCGTAATAAGGAGCCATGTCTGAAAGCGAGCAAGAGGGAGATTAACTCACAGCGGGCCCTCCCTGCTACCCTAAAGTCAGCACACCTCCTTACGCACTGACACACACACACTTAGGAGGTCCACAGGCTCTGACCCACTACCAGGAAGGGATGGGATAGAGCTTGGTTAAGGGCCAGGCAAAACGGCAATGCTTGCTGAGGGCGTGGTCTGCATCAGGGCCAGTCCTGTTACCCCCCACCCTCTACTAGGGCCGGAAGGAGGGCAATCCACGGTCTGCCTTTGGCCGACACCTGTCCCAAAGGGTCTTCCAGCAAGAGAAAGGGGAAGCCTGTCTCCACACACACTCAGACCCGTGCGTTCAAGGCTATAGAGCCCAGAGCCATTCGCTGCTAAGAAGGACGAAAGGAACCGACCCCAAGTTTTCCCCAACCCGGAAAACCTAAGTCCCCGAGACCGGCTGCTACTGACAATGAGTCATGACTCCGTTCCGTGCCCGGCACGGGGCTCAACACCTCGAGATCCCCCCCAAGCGGCCCCCAGAAGGGGAGCGCGGGGGCGCAGACGTCTCTGAGGGCAAGGCTCGAGGTCCCCGAGGGCGCCCCCGACAAAGGCGGGCGGAGAAGCCAGGCCCCGGCTCGGGGACGCGGTCGGAGGAG